GCTTCCCCCAACCAACGACAGATTGGGGCACTCCTAAAAAATACACGTACCCATTTCATATTGAGTAGGACCTGCGAAAAGAAGCCAGCCTGCTTCGCAAGTTCCTCGGTTCTCCTTCCGATTTCCTGCCACTCCTCTTCCATGCCAGCTTCACTGCCTGACCACCCATGGGGATCGCTCGAACCAATGTGAGCAGCACCCTTAGTGTTTGGCGCTGTCTGGGCAGCTGTGTAGTTCGACGCAATGTGCGAGACATCTCAAACGATGGGTAGAAGAAAGTTCCAAGAACAGGGACATAGCCTCCAGCGCGGCTATGGTACCGTACCTAGGGGATTTTGCACATAGTTAAAAAGTGAGTTGTTGGTTGCTAGAAGAGGTGTGGTTTTTGGATATGGCTTTGGATTGGTTTTTGTAGCTTTGGTATTATTTGGATTGGTTTTCCCATAATCCTTTGCAACGGAGCTTTAAGCAGATGTCAGGTAACCTTGTTTGGTGGCCTGATACATCCAGCGGCGTCATGACCATGAATGAGATTGGTCCCGTAAATAGAGGCATCCCAACCTGCAAGGTGTCCATACAAGCAAGGATCATGGATGCGTCAATCGACAGAGCATGGATGCGAACCCAGCATTTGCCACAGCTAACACAGGGCGGCCGGCACTCACACTCGTATGGAGCTGCGCCAACATGAGCTCGACTTCAAAGTTACCATCACTAAATGATTGCGTCTGATACGTTGTGACAATGGCTCGGCCAAGATCATGCTGTCACAAACATTGCTGCACAGTCGACATTGCTCAATGCTTCGATGTCACCGCCATACCTAGCTTGTCAGCTGCACCCAAAACCCATTGACTTTGGGTTCTGCCAAACGGTTATAATGGTTTGTAGAGGCCTTACTGTTACCTTTTTGAACCAGGTCGTAGAACTGCCTGCTAAGATGGCCAAGAGGGGGTTTGATCGCTGAACGAGTCCCCTGGTGTTCTGCGGGAAATTTGGTCGGTCCCCCATGTCCCTCCCAAATGGATCCTAAGCTACTGGATACTTTGACCATACCTCATAAAATGGGCGTATCTTAAAATAGGGGACCCCAAAATGCTGGCTTTCCTTTGACTTCTGTTTGTATAAAACCTTTGTGCTTCGGACCTTGCAAGCGGTTGTCCCTCCCCCGAGAACTCTGCTGTCATCAGTCATTCTGATTGCGGCTGGCACCTTCTCAACACGAGCCCCTACTTTGCAGACAGCCGCCTGGGTCAGATGGCACACTGACCACGGACGAGCTTGGAGCCTGAGGAGGGAATCACAATCCGATGGCAACACTGCCGTGTACTCGCGCACAAGCGCAGGAGGTGGAATAGGCGTCCGCATTAATGCCACGGATTCAATCCTCTCTCTGTCTAGCCTGAAGGCTAAGGAAGGCTAATGGAAACCAGACCAGGAGAATCCAAGTCAGCGAAACAAACTGTGAAACTGCAGAGGCAGTGACTCAGCATCAAGAGCAACCAGTTAGCTAGGGTGAAGCAAGTAGTCAAGAAGCCACTAGTACTAGAAAAGCCAATTGTTGACACCTCGGCTTGCATTCTTGCCCTTAAGATTACTGATTTGGTATTTAAACAAAAACATAAAGGCGAAAGGACACCAACCCCTGTACGGGGCTGATTCCGATTTTGAAAAACACCAATGCCGTGTGTTGAAGATCCGCCGAGGCCTGTGTGGCGGCGCCACAAAGATGCCGAGCGCGCGAGAGTGAATTGTTTGCCTTGGCATTTGGGCACAGCATCCCACGCAACCAAGTCAAACAAACAACATACTATGCGTGTGTGTGTGTGTCAACATTTGGGGACCCGGAAAAAAGTGGGTTGCCCGTATCTTCACTTTAAAGCAACCTGAAAAGGCACCTAAAGCAGAAAAAAAAAACACACACACAACCACAGGCCCACATCCATAATATAGCGGCCACTGCCCACCACACTTGGGTGTGTCTTACATGTCCTTTCAGGTGAGTCACAATCAAAATCCGGCAGTAAAATGATCTACCCAGAGCCATGTAAGGATTAGAAAGGCGGCCGCACCCATGTATGGCTGGGATTGTCCCTTACTACGCTCCAATTACGCGGGTTTTGATCGCGACTCATGTGTGTGTGTGTGTTTTTCTGGTTTGAACCAAGCGCATGGTATGAGGGTCCGGCAGATTTGGGCGCAGGCTCCTCCTGCACGCGGCTCGCCACACCGGTCCGGTTTTAGACCAAACCTTAAAACACATGGCATTTTCTTGCTGGTGATCAGTAGGAAATGACCGAGAGAGCGTTAGGAATGAACCGAGGGATTCCCTTCAAGCAGGCCATAGGGTACTTCCCCCAGTCTCTGCCAAGAACCAGCAAGTTATCGGGACTTGCTCTCCAACGCCTCAAATGAATGCACCCGACGATCAATGCCAGAAACCGAACTTGGGGCCCCAAATACCGACACACCTTGCCAGCTCCTATTCCGTTTCCCCTCGATCCATCAAGCTCGCACCTCTTTGCGGCTGCTTTTCACGGCCTATCGAGCGAAAGCCCTGCCCAACTTGGAAAGCAGGAGCATAGGGGAACCACATGTTCATGCTTAAACTCTTCATCTGGAGTCAACCAACTTTGCCGAATAGGCCTTCATCAATCAGGGCATTGCCAAAGCTCAGGGTCCTGTCTGACCGCTGTGCTGATGGAGCTCTAGTTGGGTGTGGCTCAAAAATGAGGACCTAAGTCAGATTTGGTTGCTCCTTCTACAAACTGGGGCTTGGAGGGCACCCGATTTTGAGCCACTAGCATTTACTGGCTTCACACTTCAACCGGAAAAGCGAGCCTCCTCGAAAACATCCTTGCGCGGAAGGATGCGGGAGTTCCTGGGGCATGGCTGCTTTCTCTTTGTCGACCACCTCCGTCTCTTCTTGAGGTGTGCAATATCTGGTCATGCGTGGAGAAAGCGAGCTGGCTTGTTCGTGTGCAAATGCCTCCTTTACTTGCAAGGCATAGACGAGAATCTTAAGTCAGTCACCAATGCAGAATCAGCGTGGCTGCAGTTGAAAGAAGCTAGGCCGGAAGGGACACTAACCGCCAACCATGTGATGCTGTGCTGCTTACACCAGGGATGGTGCTTCGAGCAACTGAGCGACTGAGCAACCAGCCGAGTCAAGTGGTCCCTGCCGACGTTGCCCTGCATACATGGTGTCTAGCAAAGGTTCCAGGATGCTTCACACAGAATTGTCCTTTGATGCAAGCTAGAACCCAAACGGGGTCCCTGAATCAAGCTGAAGGATCATGAACACGTCTGAGTGTGGAGCTGGCTGAGTGCTCGGCACCGTGCTCGGCCTCGAGTTTGCAAAATCCTCGCACTTTGTGCCCTGTATGTGCATGTGCTTGCTTTGATCCTTTTTGTCCTGCCTCTTGCTATCATCCGAAGCCTCCTGGCAACAAAGAGGGCAAAGAAGATGCTGAATATCTCTCACTTTATCGCTCTCTCTCTCTCTCTCTCTATGTATATGTATATACATATCATACGTATGCACACGTATGCATGTGTCTATATATATATATACATCGGCATCTATATATATATACATATATGCATATATAATGCGTGCATATTCAAAAGAGCTAGTGTCAAGATTGCGTTTCCCAGTCTTAGGTTCTTAGGTCTACGAACCACTGACAATATGCACATTCACTCTTTTTGATGGCGGGCGAGCACGGTCCACCCTTTCGCAGCACTGAAACAGTCTGGCAAGCCAAGGTGGGCCCTCTGCGCCAAGGAAACTCATCCAAGTGGCTGTGCTATCGTAATTGCTCGTCCCGTCTTTGGACGAAGCAGAGGAAACGCTCGATCGCGATGTACCACTGGCAGAGTCTCTGGACGCCTCCTCCGTTTTCACAATATTCCCAGCTGCGTTTGCAATCTCCTCGGGTGTCTGTTTGGAGGAAACGAGATGTGGGCATGATTTACGTTGGGATGGTTGGGACCATTCAACATAGCCAAATGGGTTCTCCAAATGTGCCATGGTCAACACCCGTTTGCTTTCTGGCAGGGGCAGTTATCAACCCAGAGATCGGAACCGCCAACAGCAAACAAAAATGACAACAACGTGGTGGGGGAGGTGGTCAACAGAGCACCCAAGGGTCAAAAAATAGCTACAGGGGTCAACAGCGACAAATAAGCAGCTAACAACTACTGGACCACCAATGGAAAGCACACCAAAACAAACATAATATGGGTGGGTTAGAAGAACAACCAAACACAGCAAAAGCAAACAGCTAAACACAGCTGGGCTCAAACAAAAACAACTACAGGAGCAACATATACAACTATGGCAAATAATTTCAATAGAGAACACCCCCAAAATGGTTGGAGGACATGAACCCCCACCTACAAATATATATATATATATATATATATATATGGGCACACACTGTTTAAGAGTTGCTTGGGGCTGCAGCACAGACGTCTTCCGAGGCCTGGCGGGGGGGGGGGGGCAGGGGGTGGTGAGGGGGGGGCAACTGCGTTCGTTGCCCTATATATCCAAACCACGCAAAGACGTCTACCGAAGCCTGCGGAGGGGCGGGGAGGTGTGGGGGGGGGGGGCGATCCCTTTCCATGCCACGCAGCATGGGCCCGAATGACATCAGACTTGTCCCACGTGTGTTATTGTCTCACCTGGAGACGTGATCCGGAGAAGCTCCTAGAGAATGTGATTTGGGATTCGCGAATCCCGAATTCCGAAACCCCGAATCCCGAATCCCAAAATTGGGATTGGGAGTTGGGATTCGCGAATCCCGAATCTTGAATCCCGAATCTTGAAATTGGGATTGGGACTTGGGATTTGCGAATCCCGAATCCCGAATCCCAAATCTCAAAATTGGATTTAGGATTCGCGAATCCCGAATCTTGAATCCCGAATCCCGAAATTGGGATTGGGATTTGGGATTTGCGAATCTCGAATCCCGAATCCCAAATCTCAAAATTGGAGTTGGGATTCGCGAATCCCGAATATTGAATCCCGAATCCCGAAATTGGGATTGGGATTTGGGATTTGCGAATCCCGAATCCCGAATCCCAAATCTCAAAATTGGAGTTGGGATTCGCGAATCCCGAATCTTGAATCCCGAATCCTGAAATTGGGATTGGGATTTGGGATTGCGAATCCCGAATCCCGAATCCCAAATCTCAAAATTGGATTTGGGATTTGCGAATCCCGAATATTGAATCCCGAATCCCGAAATTGGGATTGGGATTTGGGATTTGCGAATCCCGAATCCCGAATCCCAAATCTCAAAAATGGATTTGGGATTCGCGAATCCCGAATCTTGAATCCCGAATCCCGAATTGGGATTGGGAGTTGGGATTTACGAATCCCGAATCCCGCATGATTCGCGAATCCCGAATCTTGAATCCCGAATCCCGAATTGGGATTGGGATTTGGGATTTGCGAATCCCGAATCCCGAATCCCAAATCTCAAAATTGGATTTGGGATTTGCGAATCCCGAATCTTGAATCCCGAATCCCGAAATTGGGATTGGGATTTGGGATTTGCGAATCCCGAATCCCAAATCTCAAAATTGGAATCTTGAATCCCGAATCCCGAAATTGGGATTGGGATTTGGGATTTGCGAATCCCGAATCCCGAATCCCAAATCTCAAAATTGGATTTGGGATTCGCGAATCCCGAATCTTGAATCCCGAATCCCAAATCTCAAAATTGGATTTGGGATTCGCGAATCCCGAATCCCGAATCCCAAATCTCAAAATTGGATTTGGGATTCGCGAATCCCGAATCTTGAAACCCGAATCCCGAAATTGGGATTGGGATTTGGGATTTGCGAATCCCGAATCCCGAATCCCAAATCTCAAAATTGGATTTAGGATTCGCGAATCCCGAATCTTGAATCCCGAATCCCGAAATTGGGATTGGGATTTGGGATTTGCGAATCCCGAATCCCGAATCCCAAATCTCAAAATTGGAGTTGGGATTCGCGAATCCCGAATCTTGAATCCCGAATCCCGAAATTGGGATTGGGAGTTGGGATTTGCGAATCCCGAATCCCAAATCCCAAAATTGGATTTGGGATTCGCGAATCCCGAATCTTGAATCCTGAATCTCGAAATTGGGATTGGGATTTGGGATTTGCGAATCCCGAATCCCGAATCCCAAATCTCAAAATTGGATTTGGGATTCGCGTATCCCGAATCTTGAATCCCGAATCTTGAAATTGGGATTGGGATTTGGGATTCGCGAATCCCGAATCTTGAATCCCGAATCCCGAAATTGGGATTGGGATTTGGGATTTGCGAATCCCGAATCCCGAATCCCAAATCTCAGAATTGGATTTGGGATTCGCGAATCCCGAATCTTGAATCCCGAATCCCGAAATTGGGATTGGGATTTGGGATTTGCGAATCCCGAATCCCGAATCCCAAATCTCAGAATTGGATTTGGGATTCGCGAATCCCGAATCTTGAATCCCGAATCCCGAAATTGGGATTGGGATTTGGGATTTGCGAATCCCGAATCCCGAATTCCCAAATCTCAAAATTGGATTTGGGATTTGCGAATCCCGAATATTGAATCCCGAATCCCGAAATTGGGATTGGGATTTGGGATTTGCGAATCCCGAATCCCGAATCCCAAATCTCAAAAATGGATTTGGGATTCGCGAATCCCGAATCTTGAATCCCGAATCCCGAATTGGGATTGGGAGTTGGGATTTACGAATCCCGAATCCCGCATCCCAAATCTCAAAATTGGATTTGGGATTCGCGAATCCCGAATCTTGAATCCCGAATCCCGAAATTGGGATTGGGATTTGGGATTTGCGAATCCCGAATCCCGAATCCCAAATCTCAAAATTGGAGTTGGGATTCGCGAATCCCGAATCTTGAATCCCGAATCCCGAAATTGGGATTGGGAGTTGGGATTTGCGAATCCCGAATCCCGAATCCCAAAATTGGATTTGGGATTCGCGAATCCCGAATCTTGAATCCTGAATCTCGAAATTGGGATTGGGATTTGGGATTTGCGAATCCCGAATCCCGAATCCCAAATCTCAAAATTGGATTTGGGATTCGCGTATCCCGAATCTTGAATCCCGAATCTTGAAATTGGGATTGGGATTTGGGATTCGTGAATCCCGAATCTTGAATCCCGAATCCCGAAATTGGGATTGGGATTTGGGATTTGCGAATCCCGAATCCCGAATCCTGAAATCGGGATTGGGATTCGGGGATTGGGATTCGCGAATCCCGAATCCCGCGGGGCGAAGCGATCCCCGGATCGCCACTCCTCACCTGCATCATATTGCTGCGTCTTGGCCACCAACAATGTCCACCCGAGTGCTCCAAGATACGTATGCTGTTTGAGGTCAATATTTACACACTGGATCAATTTCAGGATATTTTGAGCTCATGCCAGGGATCAGCCAACAGCAGCTTGTCTGGCTTGCCTCTGCCAAGCAGAAAGTTCTCAGCAGTCTGTCAAAGGTGCTGGATGTTTTTCGTTGCCAAAGTGGCTCACCTAAGTTCTTGCCTGTAAAGCTCTGAAGCCGCAGAAAAAGGAGCGCCGGCAGGGTTCGAAGTGGCGTTTTACCTGCGTTCAACTCTTAAACATAGTACACCGATACATATATACATACAAACTATATATATATATATGTGTGTCTTGTATATACATACATATATATATATATAGTTAAACCAACACAGCAAAACAATAACCTCCGGTGGAAGAAGACATCAATCTCCTCAGGCTCCAGCCCCAAGTCCAGCAAGACCTGCTCAATCTCCTCCAGCTGTGGAGGCTGAGAGGCGTCCCAGGGAGGGTCGATCCTTGCCAGTCGTTGCCACCAAACATGCAAGAGTCCAAGAGGTCTTTTTCTATCTTCCAGGTGTGGTTGTTTTATTTTTTCTAACAAATGAGATGTCCATGTCCCAAAGGTTTGTTTGAAGCATCGTCCGCTGTTGGCAAACTAAAAACTGTTCATCTTCCTAAAGGCTTGCTGGTGTCCTGGCTTAGGGCGATCGTGGCCCAACAGGCTTGGTGTTTTTGCTGGCTAAAACGGCCGTTCTCCAGAAAGTTTGAAAAGGTGTGTTTCCTCAAGAAACGGACAACAAAACAAAAAATGTGGTCACCACAAAAGGTGGTTTCTCAAAATGGTGGATCCCCTTCTAGTTGTTATTCAACGGTAAACCGAAAGGAAACCAAACGACATGGGAAATGGATCCCTGTTTTGAGGAACCCCAAGAGAAGCCGAGGGTCTTCTCGGCCACCGGCACGCTGTCCTTGTCCATGCGCTGGGCCCGCCGAACGTTGTGACCCTCCCCCGCCCGCGCCGGCTTGTCCAGCTTGTCCCGGCCCGGGGAGTGTGGGGACCCGGGCGAGCTGGGCGTGTCGGCTTCCTGGCGGAAGTGAAGCAAGCCCTTGACAGGAGAATACCAATAGAACAAAAAAGGTACATAGAACACCATAAAACACTATGGAACACCATAAAGCACCATTCAAAAAAAGAGAGAACAAAACACCTCCAAAACAGGACAAAACCAAGTCCGAGTTTAAACGTCGAGGCTTCCTGGCTCTTTTCTGTCTCCGTCTTGCGCGTGAAATTCTCCAGTTCCAGGCGTTTCTGGCGCTGGATCTCGCGCCAAGCCTCCCAGTCCTTGACGGACGGGGGCTCCCGCATCACCGGGCGAGTCACCGGCGACGTGTCGTCAAAGGGCTGCTTCTTGGCTTGCCGCTCCTGGCCGTTTCTGGAGCGAAAAGGAAGTCGAATAAAAGCCTCTTGAGTTTGTCTCAAAGCAGGAGCCCTCCTTACTATGGTGGTGAAAGGGAGCCGAAAGGAAATCAAGCACCTAAAGAGGTCCCGGATCTAAAGAAAGGCCCGGCTGGCACTGGTGCCAAGGAAGAAACAAAACATCGAACACTTCGTTCCGCAGGTTGTCCACAGGATTCAAGGTCGAAAGCAAGCAAATAGACAAGTGATCTGGGGAAAAATACGTGAGTATGTCTGAAAGTAGAGCATCCCCAAAGAATGTGGGTCCCTTTTGGCTTTCATTTAGAAGCACCCCCAAAACGATCCCCATAGAAGAAAAAAACACCCCCCACATTCTTCCAAAGCCAAAGGATTGAAATACCGAGGCTCGAGGTTCCGCACATCCACCACCCCCACCAGAGTGCTGGGCAGGCCGGCGTTGCAGGACCTTCTTGGCGGCTGGGTGGTGAGTAAGATCTGGCCCGTGCCGTCGTCGTTCAGGTCCAGGTCGATCTTTTGAAGCTGGCCCCCGGTGTCTTTCCTTGGTCTTCCGGTTTGTCAAAATATGCGAAGTAAACAACTAAAACATGTCCATTAATAAATAAACACATAATAAATAGGTGATTATGTTTGGGTGTCCCTTTAAAAGCCAACCGCCTTTTGGGGGTGGGGGAGGGGTGCGCTGAAAAACAGATCCATGACCATAGGCTCAAAGGTTTTGGTCGCACCAAGTTTCAGCTGGCGCGGCACACTGATGCGGCTCTCCCCAAAGTCGTAGACAGCTTCATAACTCTGGGGCAATCGGCGTGAAACGGTCCCCCCCTTGACTCGTTGGAGTATGATTCGCCGGTCTTCTTCTGGGCTTTCAACTGCCTTGCTGCCCGGGTCCTCGTACGTTTCCTCCTCTTCTGAACTTGAAATCTCAATCATCTCAGCTTCATCTGTATACACAGACGGCAAGCCTTGCTTCTTCATCGCTGCATCTTGGTAGCCACAAAAAAACATGCCCTTCTCGCGCATGGAGTGAAAGTCACTCTGTCTTAGACTGTCCTCCACTCCACATGCCTCTTTGATGCCTTGCATTGACCGATCCCGAAGGAGGGCGGCAAGCGCTCCAGGCCGTAGCGAGTCTTTGATGTCGCCTTCCTGCTTGGCTGATGTCAGAGTACGAAACAAGTTGGCGCTGACCGTCTCATGATCTTGCGCACCAGGAAGCAGCTGCGAAATTGAGATGGATGGGATAGATGCCGAGGTGATAGAAGTGGTCAGATTGTTCCCAGCCTCAAATGCCATCTGCAACTTGGGAAGTTTGGACGAGAGGCTTCCCAAGAATCTCCCTTGAATCCTGTTGCTTGATGTACTCGTGCCTCCACTTCAGCACCATTTGAAAGGGGTCCCGAGATATGTTGCAACCGCACCTACAAACCACAGCTCAAGCGAACTGCCTGGCAACGTCCCGATTCCTTCAATTGCGACTCGCAAGATGGGCATTTGTCACACGATTTACCGCCACAAAGCTGCAAACAGAAGTCTTCTTACGCACCGGATTTGATCACGCTTGCAAAGACGGTACATGTTCCAAAAAGGGTCGAGTCCCGAATGTTCCAATGATTGCAAACTTGGATTCAACTCATGTTCACAGGCAAGTTCCCGTTGCACAACTGGGCTCCAGGCAGACAATTCTGCAGTTGATTGTGGCCTTTCGTATCTGCGAGCGATCTTGAGCAAGTTCTTCGCAATGTCTCCTTCGTGCTGCTTCATATGCTCCAGCTCTCGTTCCACGTTCGGCCTGTATTTGGTGCGAATGGGGCACTGCTTGGTCGCCTTTTGCAGCGCTCGGCTGCCTTGCTGATTCTCACTTCCTTGACTCTCGGCTGCATGGGAGCTGCGGGGGCTCTCGATTCGGACACGGGGGCCACCCTCCTCCGCCTCTTCCTCCACCTGTGGTGTGTCGGGAAACCCGCTTGGGGGATGCTTGAAGATCAATGGGAAGAAGCAAAAATTGATTTTCTCGTATTTTTTTGGAATAAGCCCAGGTGGCAGCCCCAACAGCAGGAATCCTTCCAGAACCTGAGCCCGCGGCCCCGAGCCACTTCGAAGCCGCAACGCTTTGGAACCCAATCCAACCATTCCACACCACCCGGAACCCCTACGAAACTGACGAAACTGCTCCATGGAACCCTTCGGACCCTTCTGGAACCGTCCGGAATCTTGTCAAGCAAGCGCTCCACAGAACTTCCGGAACCTTTAAAACTTCTTTGCGGAACGTTGCCAAGCCTTCCGGAACATTCCTGAACCGGACAAAAGCATTGAGCATCCTCCTGTTTTCCCTTTTCAAACCAGCTCAAACAGACTGCCAAAAAAAAAGACACTCAGACTCAAACATGAAGCCTTCCCCATTTTGACCCAAACCCACCTCCTGTTGCTGCTCGGCCTGCTGGGCCACAGCGAGAGCTTCCAGCTCATCGGCGAAGATGGAGAAGCGCCGAGGCTTGGCCTTGGGCACTACGGGCTCGGAGCTCTCCTCCTCCATCAGGCGTTCTTTGGCCTGTTCATGGCAGGCAGTCTTTGGCCCTCCATGTGGTCTTGTGCCAAAACGACCTTCTCTTCAAGGCACGGCGATTCGTGGGCGATTCTCTCTCTCTCTCTCAGGTCCGGTATGGGCCCACTGCACAAAGGCAAGCTCCTCAAAGCCCTCCACGTCGATCTCCACGACATCCTCAGTGACCCCCTGGTTTGGGTTCGGGATCTGATGGCCATGCCAGTTACATGGCCGAGCAAGATTGTAAGCTGCAAGAACGCAACACACAAACTCTCATGCAAACCTAAACCGTCGATATAAGGATTGGACTCTAACATCCGAGCGACCAACAAGAACCAACTCTTGGATGTGACCAATGGATTGCAACTCGGGACATCCGAGTTCTTCCAAGCCCCGCGCAGCCGGGCCAACTTCTTGCCTGTCGGCTGGAACTGCGAGGAGGCCTGCCCTCCATGTCTCCAGTGGTTTATTTTCCTGACTGCCTCTTCAACAGTTCTAGTACTCGGCGATTCGATGATTTCTATTTGCTAATATACATATATATATATATATATATGCATATAGTATGTGTGTGTGATTCCATGTGTTAGAATAGGGCGGAACCCCCAAAGTGGTGGCTGCGCTTCTCCCTTAAAAAAAACTAACAAAAGGGGGTACCCACGAAAAAAGACCAAAAAAAAACACGGACCGATTGATACGCTTTGTTGGGCATAGTTGCAGAGTTACTAGGTCATGGGTTGGCCATCATTGGCTAAGCTGCCGCTTTCTCGTGATTTCATGGTCCAGGGTGCTTGCAAACCGTAAGAACACAATGCACTTGTTTGAGTTGAGGGAACAACGCGTGCACATTTGATCAGTACATCATCATTACACGAAAACAAAACGAGGTAAAGTACACTTGCAAACTGTGCAATGTGTGTTTGTCTGTGTGTGTGTGTGTGTCGCTTGTTTAGGTTCGATTCAAGATCAGTTTACGCCTTGTTTCTTGTGCAACGTTTATTGAGGCTGCAAAAAAAGTCCAACTCTCCTTCGTTGGCACTTTCTGATGTTCGGTCCGCAGTGGAAACACCTGTGAGATGTATGCAAAACCCGTGACGTTTGGCAACGACGGCAAGATGGTAAAAGTTGATGGGCTTACAAACAGCCAAGCCGCCACCTGTGATTTCAGTGTCGCATTCGGTGCCACTTTGGCTGGGAGACATTGCTTGGCTTGACGGCTTCTATGCAGCACACCCTGTGCGGGGCCATGCTGGCAAAACGTGATCCAGGTTGCAAAGTTGCAAGCTCCAAGGCAACCACTCGCCTGGGCGGCATCGAAACCACCAGGGTCTCTATCTCCTCTTCGGATGTCTCAGAATCGTCGTCCTTAGAGGACCCGCCAGTGATGCACCAAGATTGGTGGTTGGACTGGTGGTTTGGGGACTTGCATGGTTCTTGAGTGCAAGGGGGCATCACTCTCACCTAACCACTGACGCATACCTCTCCAATTGTTGGGCGGTTTGGATTGGTTTCGAGGTTGGGGGGGGTCCCTTCTGCTCGCAATTTCAAGGGCTTCCAACTTCCTGGACCTGGGAGCAGTCAAGAAGAAGCAAGCGCTGGTAGCCAACTCGGCGTTCTCAGGCAGTCTCAAGGAAGGCGTTGCAAACCAAGCCATGAGGCAGCACAACGCTACACATCAAGCTGCCTGGCGTCTTGATTGGATAGGTGGATCGGTAGAAGGAACTTCCGAATTCCAAGCTCCCAAGAACGATGGCCCTGTTCTTCCAATGTGGCCCTTTGATGCAACACACGCGCAAACCCTTGCAGATGATCAAGGGACATGCCGCAAGTCGCGCCATTGTTGCCACTGAGCTGGGATGTCTTCGCTCCTCGGCACTAGACCGCGCCTTGCCAGCGCTAAGGTCACACGCTTGCTTGTGTGTGCGAGCGGCTTTCCACGGGTCTGCGTCGGGCCATTTCTCACAATTCGAGCCTCGTAAAGGTGTTTGCCCAAAACCCTAGGAATCAAAAGGACGGATGTAGAACCACCTAAGAGGGCTACAGAGGTCTAAGATTTCTTCCTCCAGGTAGTGGTACCGAGTACCACTTTAAGATGCTAAGATCTTGGCCTTCCTATCCAACCAAGAACCTACAGTGGACGGGCAAAATCCTGCACCACCTAAGAAACCACGGCTGCAACCATGGTTTCTTGGCATTTGCGTTCTTTGAATCAGATCGGATCATGAGCCCGGGTTTCCGAGCGGCGCCGTGAGGATTTCGCGCTCACCTCAGGAACATGTTGTGGGCCTTCTCCAGGCCCACGGTGGTCTCAGGCCCGTGGCCCGAGATGACCCGCACGTCCCCATCCAAGGTCAGCAGCTTGGATTTGATGCTCCCGATGATCTGGCTGGCGTCGGAGGTGCCCTGAACCGGCTTTGGCATTTGTGGTTCTGTTGTTGTTTTGTCTGTGCTCTTGTTTTCTTATGTGTTGTTTTTGTTGTCTTGCTTGCGAACTGTTTGATTGCGAACTGGTGAATTTCTTCGGAACTTGACTGTGCAAACGGCTGTCTTCACACAGCCTTTGGGCTCCTTTGGGACAAGGGCATCTGGTGTGCCCCATGAAACCATGCCCGCCTGCAACGACGGGATGCCGGCCCAGTTTGTCCTCCCCACGGAGTCTTGAAACAAAGTGTCCCCCGGGCACACGATCTTCTGCTGCTCGAAGTAGTAGGACATGGAGCCTGGCCCATGGCCCGTGCGACATAGACCCTGCCCTGCAATTTGGCCCAACATTGGGGGGGTTCCCGTCCCGATCACTGACTTAATTAGGTTTTCACTTCAAAAGAGGTTCTCTTGGTATCACAGAAGTCTCTATGAGACTTAATTGGGTGTTCACTTCAAAAGAGGTTCTCTTGGTATCACAGAAGTATCTATGACTTTATTATAATTAGGTTTTCACGGCCCAAAAGGCAAATGTTCGACAAACCCTGGCCTGGCGTGTGCCCTGGGCAATGCAAGCATCTCATCGTCAGGTCTGGGGCCCACTGTACAACGTCACCATCTGCCAAGAAGTCATCTGGCGGTAGCAAAGGCTCAATTGGTGGCGGGATCCTGAAATCTCGGCACTGCTCCGTCACCTTCTCGTACAGCGACAAGTCGTTCTGATTCATGAGGATAACTGCCCCCGTAAGCTTTTTCAACTCCGTGGCACCTGAAGGCTGTGTGGAGGTCCACTTCTGTTGGGGTCCAGCCCGAACTCCCTCGAACAAGTGGTCTATCTTACCTCTCCACCTCTAAGGCTGTATTGTCTCCCGTTAAACCAAGAGGAAAAAGCCACCCATCTTGGGCCTCGTCTTGGTACCCTTTTCTTTTTGGTTTCGCATCGAAACAACCTTAAGCAGGCTGCCTTATAAAAGCATCTTTGGGGTAGTTTCAAAGTGAGACCTACAGTAAAGGAAAAACCGCCAATTGCAAGATGTCCCATTTCAACACGCACCCATTGGTCTCGGTTTGCACCCCCGAAGGATATAGCCATGGATCAAAATCCCGTGCCCCCAGTGAACATCCGAATCCCCACCTACCCCAAACTGGTACCATTGGTTTTGACCCACAGCCATATGGCTTTTGGGGGGTGGTCCACGACGTCTTTTTCGGGCGTCTTTCGGGCGGACGGGCGCCTATGATGTGATCCAAGTGCCCGTGGGTGATGAGGATCCGCTTGCAGCTGAGTCCGTGCAGCTTCAGCTTCGCCACGATCTTCTCCACGTCGCCGCCCGGGTCCACCACCACCGCGTCCTGAAGCGACTTGGCGCGCAACGGAGAGGCTGCACCCCTTCCGTCTCAACAATCCTTACAAAAGGTGGTCTCCAAATTATTCCTCGCAACAATGAGTTGAGACGTAAGAATGGGCTCTTGATCATCACCCAAAACGGGGTTCACTTTGGACATCCTTGGACTCCGAGTCCCCGATGATGCTGCAGTTGCAGCCCAGGGGCGGTACCTGCATCACCTCGATCACAGGCGCCATGAGCGAGGGGAGGCAACCGAATCTCCGGAAAGCCGGCAAATGGGGATTTGGAGAACTCACAGGTCTCCGAGCTACGCGCCCACAAAAGCGCCTCGAGCCAACGGCTGCAGTGAATATGCAGGGTGGGGAGAAAGAGAGAACCTCCAGTGCTCCTTTGCGAATGAGCGCTTTACACCAAACAATGAAACGGGGCCCGTGCGGAAGCAGGGCTTGCTGCCTGGCCGATGCAGAGTTCCACTGATCCAGCGGGAAACTAGCTTTACCAAAATAGCTTTACCGCAATGTTGTGTTTCTGGATTCATGAGTATTTGACGATTTACAGTACGGAACGTCTGCTTGGTGCTACCCAGCTTTGCTTGTCGGATCTTCTTGTTCTAGCAGTTAATCATCAGTTCGCATTTCTTTGGAAGGTCAAGTCCACGTTGATGGTTCATGCAACCCACCCGCGTGAAGCATGCAGTTGCAGCTCCATGCATGTGCAAGTGGAGTGACTCAGAGACCGCAAACGCACACAGACAGCATAAAGCCAAACCAGCAGGCCCGTCAACATAATTGTGGCATGCTGCGTAAGCCAAACCAGCACGCCCGCCAATACAATTATGGCGTGCTGTGAGCCCCATCCTCCGTCCCCACATGTCGGAGTGTAAGCTGTACATAGGCTTCTGTGCGCACAACTAGCTCAGGAGATACCAATAAATTAAAACAAGAAACCCATCCCCCATGAATCTACACTTGCGGAGTTCTATCAGACCTCACAGTTGCAGGGCTCAAAACCCCATGTACGTCTCGTTCTACGAAGATGCATAGGCCCCACTATAACCTGGTTCTACTAAGATGGATACGCCTCGCTATAAGCACCACAAGTAGAACACCTACTGAGAATGACCAATGTGAATCGGTCTTGGGCCCAGCTCCGTGCACCTTCAAGTCCCTTCACGTTCGCGGCAGCCTTTGCACCAGCTGCAACTTCATCTCGCGCACCTCGCCCTTTCGGCCGAATGGCGGTTCAAAACCCGGGCCGCTTGTCATTGTGGGGAACCTTGTCATTGTGGGGAACCTTGTCATTGTGGGGAACCTGGGTCGATGGTGGCACACCTCGCAAAGGGGTTCAAACAGGGTGCCGAGAGTTTTTTGGTCAGAGTGAAGCGCGCGCAGTTCCCAAGGATGATGGGCTAAAGACACAAAGAAGACAAGCCATGCTGTTTGGCTGACGCAAATGTGTCACTTCGAATCCTTCTGAATGCCAAAGGTCGCTCCCAATCAAGCTAAAACCGTTTGGATGCATGCAACAGTTTTGGTTCAAACTGACAATATGAAGCTTGTGGCCTCTGGATTCGGATGAGGCCGTGTCTGCAAGTAAGTCACAATCAAGATCAAACCAGGCACTAAAGGAGGCTACTCAAACTACGGTAGAGAAACCCACGCCTAATTTTTGGGTTGGGGCTGCCTCCCCCCCCCCCAACCCCTTCAACTACACGGGTTGGATTTCCAAAACTGAAGCCGTCGCTGGCGTTGCCAATCGCCCTGCCTCTTCTCAAGGCCATCGGTCCGATGGGCTGCAGGCCTCCCTGGCCGCGCCGGAAAGGCGCTCGAGGGAAACAGGTCGATGGAAGCCCACTAACCCTGGTGGATGAACAAGGGGCTGTTGCATTTGGTATTTGGTGGTTGGATTGGAGGTTTGGAGTGGCGGTTTAACTTGGGGGGTTTGAGTTTGGGGCAGCTTCCCAATTGCCCTCAACAGCATACCCAAACCAACGCGGGGGAACCTGATAGGTGCGTCATTCACATCGCAAGTCCAGCCTTCACAAACCGTGTGGTTTGGCATGACATTATCGACTTCAGCCGGCAAGAAATGCCCGAGCATCCCAGGCGCAACACAAACAGCGGCTGCAGGACTGGAATCCTCACAATTCTTGCTAGGACTACGGCCTCTCGCTTTGACCACCGAATGGCACACTTGGCGTGTTGAAACAAAGCAAAATCGAACCCGCGCACAAGGGATATTTGGATATCAAACGTATGTCTCAGCCAATTACCCGAGATACGTTAGGCCAATGGATGACATCGTGCAGGTGTATGCATCCTAACATGAACAGCGGACGGTGCTACCACTCGAGTTCACAATTCCTTGTTCTCCCAAATCCCACTGGTTTTTGTGAAGTGAGTCCCCTCATGTCCCTCCCATATACTTTCCATATAGACTTCTCGTAATTTGGACCAAACCTGATGTGGGATGTGGGTACTCGGCCTCAAACGGCCCATTTTGCGTGAGTCATACAGGGTGCTCGTTTTGGCCTGACCCATCAAAAGCAGCCAGGAAAACGCCCCTCACGGCCGGGTCTCAAAACTAGCCCCTCCATGATGGCTTCCCTTCAAAACGCCAACAAAGGTCTCCAGCATTGGCACCATTACTTTAAACAACCAATCGAGTGGCGTGCAGAACCTATGGCTGTCGGTTCTACCAAGCAAAACTTGCAAAGTCGTATGCAATCGCCATAAACCAGGTAGCAAAGCCCCCCACTACATTGGTGTTGATCAAAATCAAGGACCCTCCAAAATGGGATGTTTACCCCATTTCAGTGCTTTTTTGAGGGTACCTTCTTTGGGTAGCTCAGGGAAAACAACAGGAAGGCCACCATTTCTTAGGCCGCTCTGCTTTGACACCCCCTTAGATCGGCCGGGGCTTCAGGCGCCACGCGCCTGACGGGCGGCCTGTGCAGTGGCCAGCGCGGCCGCGGCCGCGGAGGAGGCGCCGCGCTCGCCCGCGCGCTCCGACGGCGCATCCGCCAGCCCGGCCTACGGGGACGACCACGATGGCAGACCTAGCTGAAGCAGGAACGACACAGTAACAGTAGGAACAGTAGGGACAGTAGGGACAGTGGGGACAGTGGGGACAGTAGGGACAGTAGGGACAGTAGAAACAGTAGGGACAGTAGGGACAGTAGGGACAGTAGGGACAGTAGGGACAGTAGGGACAGTAGGGACAGTAGGGACAGAGTAGGGACAGTAGGGACAGAGTAGGGACAGTAGGGACAGTAGGGACAGTAGGGACAGTAGGGACAGTAGGGACAGTAGGGACGTAGGGACAGTAGGGACAGTAGGGACAGTAGGGACAGTAGGGACGTAGGGACAGTAGGGACAGCAGGGACAGCAGGGACAGCAGGGACAGCAGGGACGGTAGGGACAGTAGGGACAGTAGGGACAGTAGGGACAGTAGGGACAGTAGGGACAGTAGGGACAGTAGGGACAGTAGGGACAGTAGGGACAGTAGGGACAGTAGGGACAGTAGGGACAGTGGGGACAGTGGGGACAGTGGGGACAGTAGGGACCGTAGGGACCGTACGTAGGGAGTAGTAGGGACCAGTAGGGACAGTAGGGACAGTAGGGGACAGTAGGACACAGTACAGTAGGGACAGTAGGGACAGTAGGGACAGTGGGAAAAGTAGGGACAGTAGGAACAGTAGGAAAAGTAGGGACAGTTAGTAGGGACAGTAGGAAAAGTACGGGCAGTAGGGGCAGTAGGGGCAGTAGGGACAGTAGGGACAGCACCTCATGAGCTAGGTGCTGGGAGTGTAGCTCTGCTATGATCACGCGACGTTCGCGGTGAAAGCTCTGATGCGGAAGACAAACAGACAGGCGGGCACAGGAATTTGGAAGGGCATGCATTTCTCCATTCATCAAATAAATATTGTAAGTGTAGTATAGTGTATTCAATGTGTAGCAAACTGCCCGCGTGCATTCAGATTGAGCACACTGCGAAAGGCGAAACAAAAATCAATGCTGTGCGAACATTTCAGCTGGCATGCACTGTGGGACGTTGAACACAAAAACACAACAAATAACTGTTGCTTGGTTCCTGCGCTAGCAACCTCTGCCGCTTCGGGCACTTCCAATTCATACTGAAGCATAAGCGACTGGGAAGCTAACTGGCAACGTGAACTGAAGAATGTCTCTCCCGTTGGTTCAATGATCCCTCCCCAACCGGGGAAACGTAGGCTACATCATTCAGGGGGTGAGTCCAGTGCTTCACAACCAGCTTGTGCTTCACAACCAGCTTTGCCTCGGCCCAGACTGCTTCCAGCTCTTCGTCAGCTTCGTTTTCATCCACTAACAAAGTTGATCTTTCTGCCCATTCGGCCTCGGCTCTGCCCACTGACCGCTCAGACTTGATCTGTGACTTAAAGCCCAGCCTCTGGACAAAACAAGCATTGACTCAATATGAGCCGACCAAAGGTATGCCGCTTTGCAACTACATTCCAATTTGCGGACATGATTTACACGGTGAAATTTTCTGCAACCATCAACTTTTGAGGGTGCTCCAACCAGAACGCGTCACATCCGAGCCATGCATCACCAAAATGCAGTCTCGGCACTGCCTCGCTGATCGCACATAGCCCCCCCTGCACTCAACCCGGCTCAAGACGCAGCCAAGAGCAAGGTCGGGAAGAGTCTTTTGTTCACGAGCTTGGATCACGACTTTCTGTGGCGCCACAATTGACTCACAAGATTGCCAGCTCACATGCGACCTTGGTTGATTGTTTTGAGTTGACAGCCCCAATTGCTGAACCAGGCTGCACGAGCCTTGCTCTTCGGACCCCTCGCCTGCCAATTGTAGGTGCTTCACAAAATGTTCGGGCAAAGCTCCCAGCCAAAATCGTTGTGGATGTGAGACCCCAAATTTGAGAGAGGCGTCCCTCAAATGTGCCACGGTCAAAACTCCGGGCAAGGCATCCCTAGCTTACGGCTGCGCTCTGGGGGTAAAAGGACACGTGACCCTCGTCCATCCCTGTCAACCTGCAACACTTGCATCAAAATGGGGAATCCCGATTCGGCTCATGCTCAAAGGACACCAAACATAAACACTGTAGAGTCCCAAGCGCCCAAAACACATCGAATTTGGGTTCTAGCCACATGTTCATAAAGCTAAATATAGGATGTTCCACAACACCCACAAAACCAGGAGTAAACCACCTGCATATAGGAAATGGCTTCAATTGCCCAGGTCCTTGACACTTGTTTCTTCACCGCCCCACCTTCGGCTTCGGCTGTGCGGCTTGTGGGAGCCTGCACAGAGTAGGCTCCAACCTCCGTTGGTTCTGAGCATCAAGCCTCTTTGGCCTGCTGTAGGCGGGGGTTCTCTTGGCAATGTCTACCATCAGATGCCCCTCACGTCCGCAAGCTCTATTTGTACATGCGTGTGTATGTGGGTGTGTCTTTTTTGAGGGTGCCATTCTTCGTGGGCTGCAGGGCGAACTAAAGGAAACCCACTAATTAGGGGGTTCCCTACTTTGGGACGACCCCAAATATACACCATATAGACAAGACCATTTGAGCTGGGCTCAAAACAATTGTTGGAACTGCGGATTGGTATCAGAGCCACACAAGTCGTCGACCTCATACCAGCATTCCCCTCCTTTATGTCACTATGCCCCTTCGAGCCGCGGGGTCTTTCTCAAAACGCGGGCATTGCAAACTGAATCAAAGAGCACAAAAGCCCTCTCTGATCTGGCCCTGCAATACATTCATGAGCAGGAACTCGCTATTGAGTGCCATGGCTACAGCAGCGCAAAGGTTGGGAAAAGTTAGATATCCTTTTCTTAGCGCATGGTCATGCTGCAAGCGGAGTGCAAGATGGGCTTCCGTGAATTACTGCCTCCTCTTGCAGTGCATCCAATTGGCATTTGTATCTGACACAAGGCACCTTTCAGGTAGCCATTTGCATTAAAGATCGGGCAACTGGGTCGCTTGCGTCAAGTACCGCTACAAGAGTCCAGGTCAAGGCATATGACCCACCGACACAATATGTCGTTCTCCAAGAGCACATGAGAAAACTCGGCCGATCATATGAGTTTCAGAGACTCATACATGCATGCTTCTTGAGGCAGGTTGACATCTCATAGCGAACCGCAGCCAGGCTGGCATTGGCGTGGCAGTCTGCCCATTCACGGATTCTCAGTGCATTCACCGGTACATGTGGCCCATGTGGTGGCTGCCCATGTAGGAAGCCTGCAACATCGAGCTCGGTTTTATAAACCTGACGGATTCAGACTGAATTAAAGCGAGCCTGCGTCATGGGCACTTGGAATTTGCACCTGAGGCGAGCACTGCATTGCCTGTCGCATCCCTAACACGGCATAAGCAACTGAACCGCGCCCAGAACCCACGGCGATCCAAGAGAGCTATGCAGGTTGAACTATGCCGTACTCTGGACGGTCAACATCCGGCACCAGTTGGGATTGGTGGCTTGTCCCATTCATGGGGCTTCATCCCAACTGGCGCCCGACGTGGATATTGTCCATTCACGCGGGGGCGAAGTGAAGGCTGAGCCCCAGGCGATGCCACCTGGCACGCGGCCTTGGAAAACCAGGCGCCGCTTTCTATCCCCAAAGTGCGGGAGCCCTGAGCCCAGGACAGGAGGCGCCTGCAAGCAAAAACATGTGTGAAACTAGGGGGACCCCAATAATGGCTTCGGAGGTGAAAAAGGGTGCCCTCAACACAACACAAACCCATGACATGGACCACACAAATGGACGGCCTGCTGTCTCCGCGTCTGGTCCAAGGAATACAAGGTGGACTGCAGCCTGCAAGCGTTGGGTCTCGGGAAAGGAATCTGCGGATACGCCGCGGTCAATCTTTTGTGAGGTGGTTTTTAGTGAGTATTGTCCCGTTGGCTAATGCCATATTGGTGAGTGTGCCCACTGACAGATGCCCCTTTAAGCAAACCAACCCCGAAAGGCTACCATGAAACACCCATATACGGCTCAGGGCGACGCTTGCTTTGAGTGGTCCCAGAATCTTTCCGAAGGCTGCCGAAGTCAGTGACCAGGCCTCGGAGACAGCGAGAAACCGAGGCAACCCCGAGCCCGGAGTGTCAAATGGAGCCCCAAAACGGCTGTGGGGTGTTGTGTTTACTTTTTAGTTCCCCTCCCCAAAAACTGACACCCTCAAAAAGGACACCTACATGAGCGAAATGATGCATGACTTGGCCCCCTGGCTCTGCAAAGATTCCCCAATGTTCACAACATCTTGGACCATCTTCTGGAGTTGCACCTGAGCAGTGTGCTTGTGTGTGCAGGTGAGATGGCTGCATCACCAGCCTTCCTCTTCTCCAGTTGAGTGCGCAAGTCCTGTGTCGGGAACGCACGGGATTGACATGGATGGGCAAGACCAAGCTAACCAACAATGCATTCCTATATGCATGCTAGTAGTCAAGCCTGGGAAAGCTGGTCCATGTCGTTTCGAAGCAGATCGGATCGGTCTAATACCTGCAGCAGGATGACAATGTTGATCTCCAGGTTGCCACCATGATCGAGTTGGCTGAAGAAAGCTGAACGAATAGGCAAAAGACTGGACAACATTCCAAGCGGCCCTTTCAAACAAGCCCTCCACCTCCCAACGGCATGCTGAAAAACACTGTTTATTAACCATCCTCATTTAGGTTTTCTTTTAAGTGTGTATGCATCAAAGTTGGGTGACGCCCAACATGGATGGTGTCCTATTGAAAGCGTGCAAAAAGGGGTCCCTCCCAAAATCGCCACACCCTGCAGGTGCGTCCGGCTGGACCCCTGCAGCCCAGCTGCGTTGGTTTGCAGCGACTCGGTCTGCTGGCTCAGACCGGCCAAATCCTCCCGCATCCGCTCGGAGGAGTGCTGCATCTCCTTTCCATGTGCAGTTTCGAGTCTTCGAGGCAAGTGGCCGACTGGCCAATGAAATGTCCAAACCATCTCAAAGCCTGAATGAAGAAACTGCCCTGGCAGGAATCCCAGATGGCAATCTCGTCAACGAACAGTGAATTTGGCGAGTTGGATGATTTGGTGAGCATTTCAGGACTGAGACAGAATATCAGCTGAACTTGAAAACCAATTCCAAAATGCCCAGCACCACCCCCCGTCCCCCAAGGACTGCTTTTCTCCACGTCCACACCCCTAAGCGCTCTCTCCAAGCGCTCGCCTGCGCGGCCGCCCGGAGCTTGGACTGTGACTGGTCCGCGGCCTTGGTCCGCCCGCTTGTTGTTCCTTGTTCTGAACTTGGGTGTGGTTCCTTGGTTGGGGGGAATATAATTTTGGTTGGTCTTAAAGGGAAACCACGAGGAGACCATGGTCTGAAGTTTTAAGGGGAGGCCAAATGGAAACTTATCGTGTTAGAGGGTTCCACTAGTCTGAGACACCTCTATGTAGACAGGTCCCTCTTGGCCTTCAAACAAGACGGGCCGAGGCGTCGACATCTGCCAGCTGGGCAAAGGCGGTCTCGTTCCGCACCGCCTGCGCGGATCTCCAAGGCGAATGTGGGTGCACTAAGGAAATTCTGTCTAGATCAGGGTTAAAACTAGGGGGGCCCAACAAATGGTGAGCTTCCTTTTGGTTTCCCTCTAAAACCATCCACAACGGGCTACCCCCGCAAACCCACCCGCCCAGCCGTTTTGTTTCATGCTTTCTGCACATATCCCTCCAGCTCGCCTGTTCGTTCAACGTCTGGATCTTCATCTTCAAGTCCTGGCAATTGTTCCCCGAAGAGTGCCATCTAGTCAGTCTACTTGGCCGTGGCTCAAAAACCGGTACCAAAATGGAACCCTGGTAAGTGGATGGACCAAAACCTGCGTAACCCCTGCTGTTTGATTTGGAGCCACCCCCACTTGCTTTTGTAGGACCATCAGTAAGTCCCCCTGGTCCCTCTCAAATGAACCATACACTACCACAAACTTTGATCGAACTCCAAATGGCTGGCAAATCGTGGGTGAAGTTCTCCCAGCGATTCTCCCAGCCTGGTCCGCAGCAGCGTTGTTCCGCACCGCCGCGGTGATTTCCATGAAGACCGAGCTCAAGGACTCGCGAATCCTCAGATGAGCTACGGTCACAATTACCAAGGTTTCCACAAGAGGGAGGGCGTAGGACAATTAGTGAGTCCCCTGGATTTTGAGGGAAGATGAGTCAACCGTAGACTATGGCAACCACACATTTTGGAGTTTCATGTCCTTCCCCCCCAACGGTTTAAGTGTATCTGGAGATGTGTTCTTGCGGTACCCTGTTTCGGTGTACGGGAAAGCTCATAGAAACCACACTGCTGGACGGTCACGAGTCGCTTCCCGGGAGCACTTGGGGTTTGAAACCCCGTCACAAGGCCAACGGCCTTGTGGTCCCAGCACTGCACTCATAGGCATGCAACCACCCCAGGCACCCAGCTCATTGATCTCGGACTGCATGTGCTGCTGAATGGCCTAGGGAAGGTCACGGTGGATCTCTACAAGCACAAACGCAATTGTCTCAAACACCCAACGCCTTCAAATGGTTTGGTGATTGCTACCAGCCATCGTCCTCCTGGCAAACATGGACAGCCGCCTGCTTGGTCCTTCAGTCGCTTCAGGGGCGACCCCTTCGCTCCAACATGACACTTCTGGGCCGCGGGGCCGCGCCGTGGCGCTTGAAGTCGGCCAAATCGCCGTGGTTGCCGTTGATGGCATTCTTGATGGTGTTGAGCTCCATCTATGACGCATGCGTCTTCAGAGCGACCAGGGGGGGGGGGGGGTTTGTCGCTTTTGGAGCGACAGGGGGGGGGGCCAAAAAAACACCACATCAGGGTCCAAGCAAGCGCTTCAGGGCTTGCAACAACAAAAGACACGAAGGGGGGGAACGACATCCAACAAATGCCAACCTGCAGCGACTTCTGCGAGTGGGAACTTCTGCTCTTGAGCTCCATCACCTGGCCAGCTAACAGCTCAAACACTGCGACGGGCAGGGCTCTGCTTTTGGCTCCTCCATAAACATCACGAACTCACCAAGAGGAAACTCACCACCAAAACGTGATGATTGAAAATGCGATGTTCAAATTGGCAGTCAAATGGCATGATTGAAACCACACTTTCTGGGAAATGTAGGAAGCCGACAAGATCCACTCTGAACTGTGCCGGCTTACCCACTGCGCAAAAGCCAGCACGGTCACGTCCACGTCCATCATGTCGGAACCTCGGATCGCAAATTCTGCGTCAAAGCATCCGAATGAGGCTTAGAGCTGCAGTCCAAGGCATCAGCCAAATGGAGCAGACCTGGGCTGTCACGACAAAACAGGTTCAACCCAAGGCTAGCAGCTTCAACAACTTACTTGCCCGTCACCGGCTTTGGTAGGATTCGTTGCCTCGGCATTTTTCCCCGTCGCCAAGGCGCTGCTGTTGTATTGGAGGAGCAGGCGGAGCGGGCAGCGCATAGCCGGAGGAGGAAGACACCTGAACTGCTGGATGAACGCCACCAGGCAGTACCCGCTCTTGAGCTGCCTGTCCGGCCTGCGAAGGGGCAAAAGCGTGAGCGAGCCAAGACCGGCCGCAAAAGCGTTGATGGCGGAAGAATGTACTGGCGTTCTTACGTTAGCTGAAGTGACTAGACCTGAAGCAATAGTTGGGCAGCTACCCTGCCGTCCTGCCTCTTTTGTGCCCAAATCGGGGACCTAAATCAACCCAAACCAAGCCTAAACCCCCTCGACCCCAAACCAAGCGACAACTAAGCTAAATCAACTCCTAAACCAACCCGCCAAGCCGAAGCTGAGCTTAAACCAAGCCTAAACCCACCCTACACCAAAAAAAGCCTAAACCCAGCCTTAACCCACCCTAAACCAGCCCTAAGGCCTGAACCATCACACCCCCACCAAAGGAGCACAGGAGGGTGGGACTGATAGTCCTGACCATGACCACTGGGAACACACCGCAAGCCAAGCAAAACCACCCTCAACCACCACAAACAACCCCACCAGAGGACCACAAGGATCCTATCTATAATATATATATATATATGGTACCCCCCCCCCAAAAAAAAAAAACACGCCCCACGAGAATTTGACAGTATTTGCAGTACTTTTGTGTGATTTCCACCCCCTTTTCAGGCCCTTCAATTTTGATTATTTTCAGGCACTCCAACTTTGATTCCCCAAAATGCTTTAAAGCGCTTTAAAGCACTTTGGGATTAAACATTCAAGATTCCCAGGACTCTAGATCTGGAATCTTGAATCTAGTTCCCCCCCAAAATAATTGCTTTAAAGCTTAAAGCGCTTTAAAGCACTTTTGGATTCAAGATTCAAGATTCCCAGGACTCTAGATCTGGAATCTTGCAGTCTCGGCCCCCCAAAATGCTTTAAAGCGCTTTAAAGCGTGTTCATCCAGGTGGCTCGTGGATTCAAGATTCAGATCTAGAGTCCTGAGAATCTTGAATCTTGAATCTTGAATCCAAAAGTGCTTTAAAGCGCGTTAAAGCGGTTTGGGGGGCCCAGGCTGGATTAAAGATTCCAGATCTAGAGTCCTGGGAATCGTGAATATTGAATCCAAAAGTACTTTAAAGTGCTTTGAAGCATCTGCTTTCAGCCATTCCTGTTTGTGTGTGTGTGTGCACCTTATTGTCCTGTTGAACTTGTGCGCGACAAATACAGTTGATAGTTCATCATATGGACATTGGAGAATTAATTCTTCAATAAATGACTTCAACAAATCCACACCAACCCTTGGATATTGAAAAAAAGAAACACCGTAAATACCAGTGTTTTGCATGCATCCTAGCAGGTTTGTGCAGAACAGATTTCATTCAGGGAAATTAGTTACTTTGGAAGAGTGTGGCACTGGTCAATGCATATTAGATGTGAGCAGATGTTTTGGTATTGGCCAAGGTTTGCAAGCTGACAAGCAAAGGGGATTTGCAGATGAGCTGAGATGCGGGATGTAAGATGCGTAGCATAGATAGATAGATAGATAGATAGATAGATAGATAGATAGATAGATAGATAGATAGATAGATAGATAGATAGATAGATAGATAGATAGATAGATAGATAGATAGATAGATAGATAGATAGATAGATAGATAGATAGATAGATAGATAGATAGATAGATAGATAGATAGATAGATAGATAGATAGATAGATAGATAGATAGATAGATAGATAGATAGATAGATAGATAGATAGATAGATAGATAGATAGATAGATAGATAGATAGATAGATAGATAGATAGATAGATAGATAGATAGATATAGATAGATAGATAGATAGATAGATAGATAGATAGATAGATAGATAGAGATAGATAGATAGATAGATAGATAGATAGATAGATAGATAGATAGATAGATAGATAGATAGATAGATAGATAGATAGATAGATAGATAGATAGATAGATAGATAGATAGATAGATAGATAGATAGATAGATAGATAGATAGATAGATAGATAGATAGATAGATAGATAGATTAGATAGATATAGATAGATATAGATAGATATAGATAGATAGATAGATAGATAGATAGATAGATAGATAGATAGATAGATAGATAGATAGATAGATAGATAGAGACATTGATATGCAAATGACAAGCGAGAACAATGAACGAGAGAAACGAAGACCTAAAGAAAGACTGCAGCAAGAAATAAATAACGAAATAAAGGAAGAAATGCAGAAATAAATGAACATAAGAAAGGAATGTAGGAAAGCAAGACGAAGAGAACACGAGTCAAGAAAAGAAAGATAAAGATAACCATAGTTCTTATATTCTTGAAACTTCCGCCCACCGGCTTCGCCGGCTCTACTGGTATGGGTGGCTAAGTCTTAATGAATCGTTTGCCCACTCCTGGTAGCATCCATCTAAAACGACCCGACTTCCCTTACAAAAGCAGCAGGCGCGGGTTTTGGGGGGGAGGGGGGCATATATATATATATATATATATATAAACATATATATATATATATGACTGTTATATATATATATATACAGTCTTATTATGTACAAGTTCAAAACAAACCAGTACCTCCCCCTTCTGCTACTTGCCTTGATCGCATGCAAGGATAGCAAAGTAAATGATTGAATGTGGCGAACCCGGCCCAAACACCTTCCCATGACAGTCCTCCGAGGATTGCTCCGACGGCACTTGCCGGGAAGCTGGTGGCTGCTGCCTGGCAAGTATGCGGTGTCCACTCATCGCACCCGTTGGCAGAGCGCGTCGCTTTTCAAGCTCGCGGGAAATCCCGCCTTTAACCAGTACCCAAATGTCGTGTGTGTCTTGTTTGGACCATCCAAACGGGGTGACAAAGGCCCATACCCATTCTATCCAATGCTGCCAAAGCTGCACAGGTCGCTGTCGGTCGGAGCGATCGGATCGTTGCCGCCCCTGGACCCCGCTGCAGGGTCATGCTAGCTGGACCTCCTTGGCCCGCCTGCATGAGGATTGGGTTGAGGTTGCACTTGCGTTGGGCAGTTGACCTCAGTCGAACGCCCATTGGCCTCTCCCAAAACCCATGGACAATGTAATTCTAGGATGACTACAAAAGGATTTCGCTGGGCCTCACCATATTCAAACCGGGTAGTAGAACCACCTACTAAAGTAGCCAAAGGGGCGTTTGGGTGCTGCTCAAGGTGCGCTAAGATAAGTGCCCGGCTGACGCGTTGGGGCAGTTGACTTGTGAGGGGGAAGGGCAGGGTTTGTAGCTGGAAAGCTGAGCAGAAAAATAGCAAAAAGCACTTGCGAAGCAAAGCGCATTCTCAAGACTCGTCAACTGAGCCACGCCTATGCACTGAAGCATGCACCGGTTCTTTTCTCCAGGTGGTGAAACGGCCAAACCGCTTTTGCAGCTCTTTGGTCCAAATGTATGGGGTTCGAGCTGTGAACCGTTCCTCTCCCTATTTGCACCAACACACAAGGCCAAACGGCTCTCTCAAAATGATGAACCCCATGTTGAATGATTCAAACATGGGACCAAACAGAAACCAACCACCTTTGAGAAACACGCTTTGACATCAAGCTCTCAACCCCCACCAAAATCGTGCAGGTAGCCCCTCATTGGCAAATCAAGCTTGGCTTCTGCGGCTCACTGCTCCAGCAACTGGCGAGTTGGATGCGTCACTCTGCTTTGGGGCACGGATGAAATTCTTGAGGGGACTCTTTTCACCTTGGTTGGAAGGGAAACAAGGCAGATCATATTTCTTTGTCTTTTTTGAGTTTGACACATACCCAAATGAGCTGGGCCCCGGTGAACACTGGAAGCCCTTGTCAGGTTCAGCACAAACTCACCTTTCACACCCTCAGCCTCTTCATGGAGAACGTCGAATTCCTGGTGATGCATGAAAAACTGCTCGAGCGCCGCCTGCGATCCATACATCCGCGATGCGTTTATGGCAGGCCTTTGACCAGCCTCCTCGGAAAAGGCTGGCGGAAAGCCGAGGTTGGGCAGCATGAACTGCAAGAGGCCTGGCACGGCCGAACTCCTTGGCAGGCCTCAAGAGCCATTGTGAAGCTCGGTGGGAAGAGGTAATTCCTTTTGGTGAGTATTTGAAGGGAAGTCAAAAAACACAACTGGCCTTCAGAGATCTTCCATCTTGAGCTAAACACCCTGCCCCCATGCTCAAACCGTATCTGAAGAGTCAGCCCGGCACTCGCAGGCACGGCCTGCGTTGGCCAAGAAGGGCTTGCTGGGCTCCGACGCGCACTTGTGCAATTTCATCTGCTTGCCAGACAGGCAAGGCAGCGACCTCAAGCAGCTTGCCACCAGTTGGACCCCAGTTCAAAGTTCTCGTTAAAAGGGAACCAAAGGGAGGGACGACCAATAATAAATACCCTCCCTCCAACAAACACGGAAGCTGCCAGGCGAGCTAGCTTTGCAAGACGGTCAGATCTCACATGCGTTGGTCTTTGTCGAAATCCAAAAGATGAATCCTGTCCCAGCGGTGCATCCGCTCCATTCCACGATAGAAGGGTTACCCCAGAGACGCCTTGGAACCCGCACGACGGGGCAGGCCCCTTCTTGGAGCCATCTGACCGCGGCAAACGGCCGGTCCTCCCCGTCCTGGCGCCAGAGCTGAACTCAACCAGGTGCCCCAAGCCCATCAGTGACTGAAGGATTGCGACGATGGGCATGAAGAATGTGGCCTTATTTCCGCCCAAACCTGGCAACGGTAACACCTGCTATGGCCAGCAGCGGTTTTCCACGCGCATGACTTGGGTACTTTGGCCGCAAAAACAAGGTCAAAAATCCCGGCCGTGTGGATGCGAGCTCGAACATTGGAGGCACATGCGCGCGCACGCGCGCGCTCACGCGCGCGGGACCGCGAGACCGCGCCTCGTCGGCAAGCACTGCGGCCGCCTTTCTGGCGCCTGGCACACCCCAAGGGATCTGCTTGTAGGGTACCACGTTTTGGGTGGTTTCAAGGGAGAAAAAGGGAACGGAACGGGCACCGATGTCCATGGGTCCAATTCCCTTCTGACACAAGAAACGCGGAAATGAAAGTGGACCAAGCCAAGGGGCCTCCTTTTCTCATGTGATTTTTCCTCTGGGGCCCTGTGGACATCGCTTCTAAGGGGAAAGTGTCCGGCCAGTGGCCCGGTTCCCTGCATGCCGGAGGGTGCCCTTAAGCAAAAGGAAGAAAACACTTCGGGGGTTCTGATCCCAAGCCTTGCCACATGTTCGTGGCTAGTCTCCCTGACGGGTCTCAACTCAAGTGACAGGCCGGTGGCGCGTCGCCGATGCGGTGCGCCGGCACCAGGACCCGCGGATCATACTCCTGCGGTGTCGTTTTGGGTCGTCCTTCCCCCGAGAAACCCAGAACCTTCGCGAAGAAATAGGTAACAAGGCGAAGCAAATGGTACTTTTGCTTGGAATCATAGGCTTCCTTTTGGACCAACAAAGAAACCATTAGAGAGATGTCTCCTGGTTTTGATACACGGATGCAAACACATTCACATGCATGGGAGGCAACAAAACGCATGCATGTCCCAGTTGCATTTAAACACCCACACACACACAAGTCACAATACAACTCATTATTAGTAATTGGCCAAGGTTCAAGCTTCCAAAACGCGCTCACCCATACATATGTTCTCCTTTGTGAGAAAGTAGGCCCACCTCGATTCATTTGCACCTACGATCCTAGGCAAATGTCAAAGTACACCGCTGATGATTCCCGCGGCAGCGGCCTCCTCTGGAAAGCTGTCGTACTCATCTGCCGCTGCGTGTCTCGCCTGAGCAATGGCGCAAGCCATGTGTCGGTCGAACATCTGGCAGCCCTCCCTCGAGTCTTGCTTGTGAGATCTAGATGGGTGCATCTGCCCTTTTCAGGCTGTTTTAAAGGGAAAACAAACAAAAAACACTTTTTGGGCTCTTGTGACACGTCCCAGATAGAGGCCCCTCCAATAACGCTGGCTCTCCTCTCTGCACAGTGCTCAAATCGTGATTTGGTGTAAAGGCCGGGGGGAGAATGAGGCAAAGGGTGAGTAGTGGGGTGCATTCAGAGGTTTTCAAAGCGTTCAATTACTCCAAGAGTTTGCTCATCGACACAGCTTGCTGGCTAGCCCGCGCAGCCCCCGCTTTCACTCTTCAAAGGCTGCCTCCCATAGTTTTTGACCCAGGCATCCTTGCAGTAGCGGGCCTATCCCGAGTTTCACCGCCCCTTCACAAAGCAAGGAAAAGAAATACATCTGCAAAAATTACTGTGAGTTCAAAAAGCTAAAATTCCTGGAGGAGCTCACCGAACGCATCTCAAAGTCCCTCCTGGGCGCAGCACGCAACGCTTGGCTGATGGCATCGATCCATCTGCTTGGCCTCGAGGGAAAAGAACGACGCTTCGGGAAAGACCCAGTCGCACCACAGAAAGTCCTACTGTTGACGAAGAAAACGTGCATGAGTTTATCACACTACGGTTTGCCACCCTGCGCCCCTACTTAACATTGAGCGGTGACGGGCAAAACCGCTCACAGGTTGTCAACGACCTCAATCTTGCATGACCCAACCCAACTTGGCCAAACTGAGAACCAATGTTAAGCAGGGGGCGCGGGGCGAGTCGTAGCAAGATGGCATGAATCTGCTTCAAAAGTCATGCAAGATTTCTTCCATCCGCCGTAAGGCCCCGCCTATGCACATCGGAGCCTCGAGAGGCTCAGCTCTCTGCGGCCTCAGGCGCAGCTCAAGGCTGGATACCGCAATGATTGGGGCTTGGCTGAAAGGGATGGAACCTTTTTCGGCTGCAAAAGGAAAACCTAGATGACATCTTTAAAGGGGTTCCCTGCCCCTTGAGAAATGCCGGGTTTTCCTTATATGTCCTCTTTAAACTTTAAACATCACCCAACCGAAGCTTACCTTGCAAGCAAAACCGGGTTCACTATCACTCAATGAACTCACTTCAACTGGCTGAGGCGACGTGCAAACCAACTGCCCAGCCAGGGCTCCCCGAGGCTGGTGCAGTGTCTGTGCCAGGCTCTGCCTGATGCCTCGAGGAGGTTGATGATGCACCCGCGACCAGGGTGAAGCGCCAGCCCTGGGTTCGGTGCTTTGTGGGAAGTTGGTACCCTTTTCAGGTTGGTTAAAGCGAAAAACCAAAGGGAAGCCCAAATCCATTGGAAATCCCAAACTAAAAAATACGTTTGGGATCTCGCGCGGCTTCTGCTTTCAAATGCTACAATTAAAGACACTTTCAAAACTCGCTTCATGCGCACACGGTTTGCCCGCGATTGGACAAAGCGCGTTGGCAATGAAAACCAAGTGGTTTTTCAGGCGCAAATTGGCAATAAACGTTCACTCCGTGCTTAAGCAAAATAAGCTCTGTCAAAAAGCGCGAAGGTTCGCTGACAAAACATGCGCCGCTTCCAGACTTACCAGCATTTCTAGCGTTGGACAAAACGTCGAACTCGAGATTATGATAGGTGTCAATCAGAAAAACTAAGAAGAACATGGCCATAGCGGCACATTGTCCAACACTCATGAATTCTCTGCATCATTGCCGCGAAGCCCGCAGCGCATCTAGACAAGGGGGGTGGTTTGCAACTAGACAGCCGAGAGAATCAGTCTACATCTGCTTTCTAACCCGTGAAGGGGCGTCTGCACAAGCACGTTTGCAGCCCTCCTGTCTTGTTGCCTTCTCACGTAGGTGTCTTTGCGTGCGTCAAACAACGGTAGGTAGGAAACAAGAAAGACAAAATCTGAGATGTCCCTCCAGCAATGAGGCGGAGGAACAAGTGAGCGCGATGAAGGAGCCTGAGCTTCGTGCTCGGCGCCTATGGCGTCTATGCCAGGAGAACAACGGAGGTGGGAAGGGCGCGTAGCCTTGGAGCTAGATCCAAGGTGCAGCTCGCGTATTTCGAGAGCTGGTCGCGAGCAAGGAAAGGATTGGGACAGGCCGGCCATTCAACCAGCGGCAGGAAGAGCATGTTGAGAGGCGAGCGCGTCAGACTTTATGGGACATCCATGAGCTGCTCTTCGAGGACACGCTGGAGCGCACCCAGCGCGCAGGCGAAGCGGAAGGGAGCCGGTCGCGGCACCCACCCAAACCCCCCACCCCCCCCCCGGCGGCCTGCGAGAGCTCCGGGGCTCCTGAGCGCCAAAGAGGGCAACTGTTTTTTGGGGAGCCCCCGCTTGGTTTTGACAGGCCGAAAGGAACGCCAATACGTCCCAAGGTTGCGGGACCCTAGTTGGATTTAAAAGCAGAGCAACCCGCCACTGTGGGGATCCCCCAATTCGGAGAACCATGCGCCAGCCGGCAACCAGCGAAGTCCAATGCCTGCCTTGTCCGCATGGAACGGTCTCACAAGCGATGATGCCGAGGCCTGCGCACTGGACAACTCACCATTTGGGGAGGGCTCCGAATCCGTGCTTCGACACATACCCAAATGGGACATTTTGGGTTTAGGGTTTAGGGTTTCACATGCCCAAATGAGTTTGAAGGAAAACCAAAAGAAGCCAACTGCTCGGTGTGGTCCTTGACGCTGACAACCCAAAGCAGGGGCGTTCGTTGGAGTCCTCCTGCGCGACGTGGACTGGGTTGACCGGTTTGTGGAATGCCAAACCTGGCGTTTCGCAGCTCAGCTCGCGGTAGCTGTACCCCTGTAAGCCCTGGTCAATATTTTGTTTCCTGCCAAGTGTCAAAATGATGCCCAAAGCACAGTAGATGGCAGCGATTTTGACTCTCATGTAAGCGGCGGACAATTTTACCAGGGCGTCGATTTTGGGTAGGCCCGTCTTGGCTTCTGGTGGCTCGAACTGTCTTTGGGCACGCCCTTGCGGAAGACCAAAATAGACCAAAGCCAGGAGGTGCTCGGATCGTTTTTTTGAGATGTCGTCAGCTCATGCCCAAGAAAGGCCTTGGCTTCCAACACCAGGATGGTTCAGAAACGGTCGCAACCTCATTCGATGCTTGGATGCGCTCGTCCGCGGAAATGGGTACGTGTTAAATAGGGATTTGGACCCGTCTGTTGGCTTCTTCTTGAGAAAAGCAGGCACTCAAGTGGAGTTTGCCGCTGGGGGGCTCGTGACTGGGTGCAAGCACGTACCAAGCCTTTCCCAAGCCGGGTGTCGCGCGCAGTGGAGCGAAACACAACATCAGCTGCTGTGCAGAAAGAGGTGTCTGCAACAGCGCCCATTGTGCTCCACTGGACCGAAGTAGTTGAAGGCTTTCTGCTCTTGGCCTGTTTCTTGAGATTAGCTGAGATTAGCTCTGCGATTTTGCGCTCAGAACACCGAGCTCTTGAATCTTCAAGCCCTTGTTTGCAACACCGGGTTCCAACAGCCCTACATGGCCAACGACGGCCTCGACTCGCTTGATTCACGGCGCGGCGTGTGATCCATGGCACTGATTCCATCCAGATGCTGGCCACTGACACGTCGGCCTCTTTTCTCCTCATAGCATTCGCTATGGTCACTGTGCATGCTTCCCGTGAATCAAGATC